TCCCTCCCTCCCTCCCTCCCTCTCTCCCTCTCTCTGTCTCTCTCTCTCTCTGTGTCTCTGTCTCTCTCTGTCTCTCTCTCTGTCTCTCTGTCTCTCTCTCTGTCTCTGTCTCTGTCTCTCTCTCTCTCTCTGTTTCTCTGTCTCTCTCTCTGTCTCTCTCTCTGTCTCTCTCTGTGTGTCTCTCTCTCTGTCTCTGTCTCTGTCTCTCTCTCTCTCTCCCCCCCCACCCCCACCAACACAATGTCTATGCTAGCCTCTCCCATCCCATCCTGTACTGTCTGGCCCAATGCAAGCCCCAGAGCTTGCTCATTTCCATCATCACACCGAGACTCTCAATGACACACTTGACCTAAACTCAAAATCCAAGAACACGAAGCTCTATGATGAGCAGGAGTTTTTCCTCTGAGGATTTAAAACTCTAGGGTCCTGCTTTATCTAAAAGAGGAGCCACCACCATAAATGATGACGGGCAAGAGTACAGTCAGAGCCATTAGAAGGACGTAAGGTCCTCAAGCCCCTCCCAGTGAGTAGAGATGCCGCTTCACCATCCTGCTCGAAACAAGATTTGGAGCTCCGAGGCTTCTGATGGGAGGTGCTGGAGTACAGCCCACAGGGTAGTTGCCTGGCCGGCAGATGCAAGGGGCTGAGCAGCAGCTGCAGTGGTAACTGAGATGTCAACCTGACTGGATTAGGGGCTGTCGGACGCTGGCAGAGCGTTTTTGAGTGTGTCTGTGTGGACATTTCCCGACAGGACTGGCATTTAAATCCATGGGCTAAGGAAGATCTCCCCAATGTGGTCACCCAGTCAGTTGAGGTCCCTGATAAAACAGAAAGACAGGAAAGGGAAATCCACTCCGTGTTTGGGTTCAGAATACTCCCTCTCTCACCCTTCTGCTTATTGCCACCTTAGAGAGATGGCAGGGCACCATGTGGGTAGCAGAGAGCAGCCCCCGGGGCCGCACTTTGATCTTAGACACCCCAGTGATCACGTCTGTGATCAAACAATATTCTGTTCTGACTCAGTGCCTAGCCCAGAGCCGGGCTATCCTTCTCCCTCTCCTGAAGCTTGACTCAGTGCCTAGCCCAGAGCCGGGCTATCTTTCTCCCTTTCCAGAAGCTGGGAGAAACAGCAAAGAAAGAAAAAGAGGCAGCTAGGAAGGAAATCCTCTGAAGGGCATACGGGCTGGAAGGTCTTGGGGTGCCTGCGTGTGGGGAACAGAAGAGGAGGTCTACTGCACTGAAGAGCACCAAACAAGGTGGTGGAGGAACAGCAGGGTGCTGGGCTCTGGGATCAGCAGGGCCGAGAAGACTGAAAGCTGCCAATAGGACAGGAGCCAGCAGCTCAGATGTGGGACCATTTCCGACATCAACAAGCCCACATCTAAGGACTTGCTCTGTGCTGAAAACCTTGCATATGTAACACTGAAGTGATGGTTTCTCGTGGTATATCCATATTGTAAGTGAGGAGGGACTCTACCCCAAATCACACTGCCACACAGGGAAAGAGCTGAGTGTGAACTGTTAGGGAGAACACTCCACCCCCACCCCCAGGCCTCCGAAGATCACCAGAAGTTCAGCTCCCCCTCACAGGCATCAATTGACCATAGCCTTCTGTGCATTGTCCAGTGGGGTTCAGTGCAGTCCCTGGGTGTAGCTTTGGGGCAGAGCTCTGATTGTGCATGTCAGGGTCCTCTGGTGGCCGGGACCACAGGTAGGAGCAAGGCCTGGAGTATTGAGTGGGTCACTGTGCAGCAAG